TTAATCAAATAAATATCATTTCATGGCTACAGTGTCAGTGCTTTAAAAACTTGTTTGTAAAAGAGCAAAGGGAAGAGAAAACCTACTAGAAAGCTCAAAAGTTTTGCAAATGACCCAGAGTTAATTAGAAAAGTCTGCACCCTGGCTAGTTCCCCTTCTCACGTGTCAGCTCTCATTAAATCAAAAAATTCTCATTTCAAAGTTAACAAACACCATGGTTAACAAAACTGTTAAACTGGGATCAAGTGGGCACATTCCTAGGTTTATATATGATGTCATGCTAAGCAGCCCACAGCTGAACTTGCAAGTAGTATGAATGATTTTTCAATATATTAAGTATCTGATCTAATGCTAATTTTCTTTCTATAGGCTAACTGTGCTGGGAACAGGTGGCCCTGCTTTCAATTACGGAGGGCTAACATGCCAGTGTGAGGCCTGGATTAGTTCACCTTCTCACAGGGAATTTGCCTCGGTTGGGAATGGATTTATTATGGCTTCACACATGGAACAGAGCTCATGTCAGCTGAGGGCAGTGATACATCATATGATTCAAATTAACCTGCTGTGGACTGTTCCGCAGGGCTGATATTGTGTATTAAAATGACGACATTTTTAAAACAGCTTGAAAGAAACCAGGATTGCTGAAGTGCAATGGTTCCAATTTGTTCCAACTAATCTATCACCTGCTGGAGATATTATTCTAGTGGGTTTCTGGTAGCTGCTATTTTCCAGGTTTCTCCAAACCACTGACCTTGCTAATGGATACAATTGTTGCCTTTGCAAACAGGGGGAAAAAGCTGGAGAGTGTGCCGTGGTGCGGTTTTGTTTGTTGCTTTCTATGCATAACCCTAGATCCAGTGCTGTGCCCCTTGTGGTGTCCAAACAGCGCCAGGGAGGGACTGGCAGGAAAGAGCAATCCCCCAGGTCCCCCAGTTCTCACTTTATCTTTCAGGAGAATTATGGTATTTCTTAGTCTGTCTGGATAGTTTCTTCTGTAGAAATTTTTTGAAAGGCAAAGTATCAAGGACCACAGCTAATTCACACCTTGCCTAACGTCTTCCCAAGAAACTGCGGGGGGAAGAGGACTTTGGCATAAACCATCTATATTTTGCATGTATAAGTATTTTAAGGCAATTTGTATGAAGCTGTACTTCATAAACATGTTTTGTATCATTTGCATGCAGAGAGAATACATCAAAAAGACAGCTTTTATAGCTAAGAAAGCATAGTGAGTTTAACAAAAAAAAAAAAATCCAAAGAAAGGACTTAGAGGGTAAAGAGAATAAATTTTCAAAAACTATTAAAACAAGATGGTCATATTTGTTCCTCACCTAATGAATAATAGCTAATGCTGAAGCAATAAATAGTTCACTTATATGTATTAGACAAGAATTAGATGTACAATCCAGTAACAGACTGAATATAAAAGAGAGAGGGTCATGTAAACTGATGTAGATGGAATTTAAAAAATTTTAAATAATTAGTTACTGTAGAAAGAGAAAGAATAGTCCTTTAATACATTGTGGGGTTAAAGTTGAGGTCTGTTCCCACAGGCCTGATGATGAATGCTTATTTCTCCTAGGATCCTATTACCTTAAATCTGGAAGAAATATCATTTTTCTTTAGTTGCCAAAAATGTACAAAATAATCAACTCATGTGGCAAGAAGTGCATTAATATATCCTGTTATTCTCATTTAATTAGTGGTTTCCAAGTTTAGCTACTTGCTGTAGTTTTTTGATCTCCGAGCTAATATGGACTGACAACCTGGTTTCCTGTGTGGTGAAACCATACGATTTTTCTATGGAACACTATCTATTTATCTACTTCAGCTGACAAACTATTTACAAGGAGTACCAGTTTTATCTAACACAGCAAACACTGGGAACCACTTGCGGATTTTTTCTTTTAACTGCTTGCATAGTAGTTTGCATCATAAAACATAGGCATGTTTGTTATATTTGAAATTTAACCTCAGCACACTAACAATGTATTTTGTAAGAAAAATGACATTACAATTAAAGCACTGCACTTTGAACACTTAAAATCTATACAGAAAACTGTATCGTTATCCCAACGGTTACATCCAGATTTTTGTCTGTATAGACACAGCTTTTAAAAATATGCTGACTTTTCAGAACAGCAGATCAGCTACCAACAGGTAGGACCTACTAGTGCATCCAATGCATTTTAATAATTTACTTACTGCAGTTATAAAACACATACACATAAATGAATATGAAAACACACAGTATGTCCTTAGAAAATACGCCAGTTAGTAGCAGCATTATTTGCCAAATGTTCACCAAAAAAGAGCAGGCCTTTGGGGCCTGCAACATAAGCATACTCCAGCAGTGCATTTATTTATTCATTCAATTTATTACGTGTGATGTCTCCCAACACAAATATCGTTTGTCTGGTGACCTTACAAGAGCTCTCAGGCGTTTTGCTGAGGTTTTGTCCTCAATGAACAACTGCCAGCTAGTTAGGATCTGGTGATGTAGACACCTTCTCCAGGCCTGCTGACGGCCAAGCTACCTCACCCTGGAAGAAGTTGTGGTTAGAGGACTTCTCTCCCCCCCAGGAGAATTACTAACTTATTTTCCAGTAGCCTGCTGAGGAGCTGTCAAGCTTTCATAACTCTTTGCATGTGCGGTTCTGACGCAATCACATGTGGAAAGCACCTTCCATTACTCATCCAATGAAACCTCCAGCCCCCAAGGAAGGCTTCTTGGTAAAGGTTAGTTTATTTGAAGAGGATCGCATAGTGGCAACGGCTGAGGTTAGAAAAATCTGCAAAGGAATGCAGAGCTGTTTTGTCATATTACACCGGCAAAACACTTCATTAAAATTCAGAGAAATGACTTGAGTCATGTCTAATGATAGTTCCAATTAGCAGCAAAAAGATGATTAAAAAATGCCTTTTGGCTAAGAAGAGATCCTGGAGAAAGTCTCTGAAGTTTTATACGCTTTGCAAGAATAAATAGACTGAAGTTTATGATGCATTAATTTATGGTTTTTCAGTTCCCCATTTAGCCAAATACCATGGAGGGGAGAGATTTAACACCGATTCGAGATCTGACTGAATTGTTGAGAATGGGGTAGACAGTTAGACTACTTGTGAATATATACTTTGCAAGCTGGTACCAACTTCCATGTTTGCTAGTTTAGTTAGAAGTCTGTCCTACTGACAGGAGAGCGTCAGGGAAACACCTTCAGGTGTGTAATAAATTAAATATAAAGGCTGCGCCAGGAAACTACAGTGAGAACCTTGAGAAAAGGGGAATGCACAGACGAAGGGTCTGGGAATATGGGAATCTGCCAGATGTGGGGAGAGAGGACACAAAAAATTGGGGGTGGGGTGGATAAAAGAAAACCAATCTGGCAGCAGTGACCAAAAGGCCACTGATACCAGGTGTCTCTACCCGTCTTGTGCTAGCCACGATTAGAATGAAAATCTACTATTATTATCATCAATTAATCCTTTAGTTCAAATGGCAGTAGAACATGCAGTAGGTCTGAAGGTTCAAAGTCCTATTAATGAAGCCAAATAGGGATCAATATAACAAAAGCTCTGCACTGTCAGGTGGTTTTAAAATCTTCTCTTAAAATAATGCTTTTAAGGCAGCACAGAAAACCAAAAAAAGGGCAATGATGAGGTTGTTCACGCACTTTATTATTTCCTCGAGACTCCTGCCTGCCTGGGTGCAAAAAATGGATTTTCAAGTTACTTAACCACAGTATTTATAGTCAGCAGGTAAACACGTCTGTCTCCTTTCTCTGGTTGTTCAAGTTGATGTCCTGGGGTCTGATATGCAGAAGTGATTACTGCTTCACCCAAAGACAATATGAACTGCTTCACCCACAGACAATAGCAATCTAAATTTCTATATTTTTAAGTACCTTGGAAAAAATTGTGCGTTTTAAATTGGTAACCTTAATATAACGAGAATACCTTTATTTTCCCTGTGCCTCAGTTGCCTTCCGTGAAATGGCAAGGGCATACTATTCCATCACCCATGGGATGGTTGTGCAGGTAAATTAGTATTTCTGTAGTGCTCAGATCCTAAAGCAGTAAGCAACGCAGAGGAAATAAGTAATTCTGCTGTAGAGCCAGGTTTAGATAGTGTGCTGTAAGACTGAATAGATAACTGAATGAATAGGAAAACCCAGTACTGGAGAGTTGCTCACTAAATGACTGATAACAGCTCATTCTGTGTGCCAAGTGAAGTAAGGATATTTGGGGGGGTGGGGAAGTTACACAATTCAACAAATTATAAGAAATATGCATAAGAGAAATGAATTATGATGGCACAGGTAAATGTAAATGTATTTTCTAACTTTTAATATAACCTCAATTATATTCTACATAGTAATGTAGTTGTAAGTACATAATTCACAAAATAGAGAATGGGTGACACTTCAATTTGCAGGAGTTTCCGACACTCTAGGAGTGAAACTTCAAGTCACATTATTTTAAGTAAACGCTAATAAACCTTCATACACCACTTACATTCTGTGTTAATTAAAGAAAGACAATATCACTGTTTTTTAAATTTTACAGTATCAATACTTTAGATGATAGGAATTCGCAATGCCAGGTATCCAGATTCCAAAGAACCCAAGGCTTATAAAATCTTCAGACACATTTTAAAAGTCAGCTTTTATAAACATAACTGTAATAAAATTTCAGTTGTTCTAGGGGTAGAAGCAGGTAGGTTTCATTCAGTTGGAAATTTGCCAACCTCAGCCTTCTTGAGGAGTAAAAATTCTAATTTTACCTTGGGAAGAAAATAAATAAATAATTAGACCTTAAACCTATGACTGGTCCAGGACTGACCACTCCTCAATTTTTATTTCAGTTCAGGGTAACTGCTGGAGAAAAATTTCACATTCATTAGCAAGGAATACAACATTTTTCTGATGATCTAATGTGTGTCTATGTGTGCATAACTACAAATAGATTACATTAGAAAGTAGAGATTGATGTGCAATGCTTACCTGGTCCGTTAAGGAAGTCTTTAATTTGCACAGTGATAAGAGGAGGCGGAATACCACTTTTAGCATCTACCTCTCCTGCTACTGTCTGCAACCAAATCTTGCAGTAATCCAGAGCTTCTGGTAGAGTCTTCCCAGGATCTACAGGTGATAATATCATAGTCATTAATGATATTCCACGAATATGATACATAACAAAATACTACATACAAAATTGATTAAATAAAATTGAAGTTTAAAATGTAACACAGTAAATAAGATTCCTAATGCTACTGTTATACATAGCATTTGTGCCAACCAACAAATTCATGTGTATTAACAATGCATGCATACATAGGCAAGAGGGCAAAGCTGTAATTACACAAAATGTAGAAAACCTGTAAAAATATCAAGTAAAATATGAGTAAAAGACATCAGTTACCACAAGATGACTTTAAATAGCAACCAATTTTAGCTTTAATTATGATGACACTGAAGCAGTCCTTACAAGAGAATCTGTGCTCAAAACCTGCTACTTCTAGATTGTATTTTCATTGCCAGGTAGAGAAAATAGTAATGAAAAGATAAATGATAAAGGCTAAAAGACCAGAATGCTACCAGATCTCAGGAATAGAGCATAATGACAATGTGGTTCTATCATTCCCTTTGGAGTTTCACTCAATAGCTAATCAGTAGCTATTCTTGCATACCACCTTGAATTGTATTCCTTTGATCAGTTTATAATATTACAATAGTACATTAAAATTAATTTCTTCCAAGTGCTATTCTTGTCTTCATTTTCCGCATCTTACAAATGGCAAAAACAGTACTGTAAAAAGGCTTTTTAATCTTTAGCAACTCAAGACCTTCATTATAATAGTCCTTAATTCTGGCACCACGGTTCTTAAATTCTAAATAATTATTCTTTATTATCAAGACTGCTATGTTAATTATTGAATGTCTGCCTCATCCTTAACAATTTAAGGAAATCTTCTTTATGTTATTCTCTCCCATTTTCAGTCAATTAAAAACTGCTATAATTGCTTTATTTGAGTTTTACTGAATGGATTCCTTTCAAGAACAGTATTTACATACCCACTATTATAGTCAACATATGGTATCGTGGTATCACAGTCATATGTGGACTGGGTATATAAAGTCAGCTTTGGAATTTGTATTTCTTGACCTTATCATGTGATTCATATAAAACTTGGCACATATGAACCCTTATGTGATTTCAAAGAACCTACTGAAACCAATTGATCATGACTTTAGATCTATATGGAAAAGATCAAAAGTTAGCACATTCTTCTGTTTTTATTTGATCAATTTTCAGGCAATGACTTTACAGCAGTATTTGTACTGCATGGCATATACATTACAGCCTTTCCTTCCCTTTATTCCCAGTATACATTTATAAAGTCAGCTCTCAACAGCTATTTAAGAGCTGTCACTGCATACAACAGATTTGTATATTTTCCATGCGAATTTCTACATTTTTATGGTTCTTAGCTCTTTTCTTTAATTACATTAACCAGAATGGTGTGGCACACTCCCTTTTCTATAGTAACTGCTTTAGGGAATATCTTGTTTCCTATGTCTGGAGTTTGCCTGGTATACTGAAAATAATAATAATAAAAAATCTTTACCACCAAAGTACACATCTTTTCCAAAATAGAGTTTTGTAGTTGGTTCTGAACAAGGATGTTATCTCTGACTTGGATCTATACCATAATACCTTCTTTTGTCCTAGTAGCTCATCATAAGTAAGTAATACGCTAATGTTTTTCAGAATATATAGCGTAAAGCATTACAAAAATTACTGAGCACTGCGCAATGAACATCACTGAATCAATTAAATTGATCTCTAAGTTATTGTTCCTTCAGAAGGAACAATATGGGGCAAAATGTTGCAATATGCCATTATTTTGTCTCATTTCTGAAAGATGTCATCACATACTGTATATAGCAACCTAGATCATCCACCGGCTTTTCAGAAAATCCAGTAAATTTAGTCAAACATTTCTTTTGAAGAATACATTTACAGGTATTCCTATTATCCTAAAATGTGTTTACATTATGAAATACCTAATAATTATTTTGAAGTTGTAGCTGTTTAAAGATGAAAATATCTCTGATGAAAAGAACTTACACAGCAGAAAATCCTTGCGTGACATAATACATTAGCTATACAAACACTGCCCTCAGGGTACTGGGAATTGCAGCACGTAAGCACAGAATCAAAAAAATAAAGGAACCATGGGGCTCTCAGGAGGTTATTTTGCTCTGTCATGTCTCCAAGGAGCACAGCACCGTCACCTCTTCATTACCTGGGGCACTGCAGGACTGGGATACGTGAATAATGAGAAGGACTTCAGAATTTACAGATTAGGAACACAACACAAAGAAACCTCAATGCACAAAATTAGCCTGAGTCCAACAAAATATATTACTTTTAACCTAGCACTGGCATTACTGATTTCAAGCTTTTTTTTTTTTTTTTTTTTTTAGTTCAACTGAAACTGTGTTATTCTGAAACTGAGCTAATTCTGGAAGCAGGTTAGTTGCACTGACACAATTTTGCATCGGAGGCAATAATCCCCAAGGGCCATGCAAAAAACTAGTTTCAGTGCTTCCAAGCCCATGGTTAATTTGGAACCTGGGTAACAGACTTGACCATACAGCCAAATATGCCAGATATGGATCAATAAATAAGTTTTTACACAATGAGAAGAAAGCTAAAATCCAGAGGTTTCAAACTGACTATGCTGGTTTATATCTCAAAAACTTGAAGGGAGTTCCAAATAGGAGCTATGAAATGTTTCTGGGAAGACAAATTCATTTCCATCAAAGGTCAAAAGACTTAAATATGTGTATCTTGATTAAAATACCTTCTAAGTTAGAAAACAGCATATGCATTTTCATAGGATTAAGGATCAGGAAAGGACTAAAACAATATAAATCAATCAATAAATCCCTATGCCAAGGGCATAGGAATCGCCAGAGAGAAGCAATCGTATGAAAAAGAGAAAATTTTGGCTGAACAGTGAGGAATTCCTGTTGGGGAGAGCTGTTAGAAAAGGACTCTTGTCCCTCAAGGAAATTACGGAAATGTTCAGAATGTTTAAAAATACACTTGACAGAATGCTATAAAATATACAATAGGGAGCAACTATGCATCAGTAGGGAACTGGTCTGAATAATGTATTATAATAGGTCATTTCCATTTCCATTTTCTATGATTCTCCCAAAAATCAACACTTAAATTTGCAGTTATTTGTATAAAGAAAATGCTGGAGAAAACCCAAGGGATACATATGTAAGTAAAAGGAGAGGCTAGAATTACTCCACAGCAAGCCAAGAGAGAAAAGAAAGGCTTGAGAAGTGAAAAGCAGTGAAGACGGCCAGAAATTCTGTCCTCTACACCACGTGAAAACTTTGTCTGTGGCAGCAAAAGAGAAAATGGTGATACAAATATCACAGATTGACAACCAAGACTGTAATTTAAAATCTGTAAGACTGAGAAGCTGAGGCCTTCAATACGTCCATATTTCCCCCCCTTTTTTTTTCTAGAAAAAAAGAATCTTTGGCTATTTTTGAACCCACCCAAACATCCAAAGCCGCTTTTAGTCTTGCTAAGGTCCAGACCTCAGCTCCAAACTTCACAGTTTATGAAGCATCTTCCTAAACTTGATTTGAATTTGCAAGCTTTTGATTTCACCTGCTATCCCCTCATTCTTATATTAACAGCAGACAGCAAAAACTAAACTTCTGAAGAGAAAGGGGAGGAAGGGGAAAGGAAAGGAGGGAGGCAGGAGAAATTTCACATCTTGAAGATTTTCATTCTCCAAAATCTGGTTTTGTTCCAGTTTGTAGCTGAGAGCTAGGGCAGCTCAGGGGGCATAGCCCATGGGAGGCTTTAATGGGGGGCCTCAGCGATCCACAGCATCCCAGCAGCCGCCAGGCAGGGGACAGGGCTACCGAGCGTGTGTGTGGGACGGCAACTTGGCCTGTTCAGCTGGAACTTTACCCAGACCAAATGAGCTCTGCAACACGCTTTTATTTCAATGGATGAATCATATTTTGGGCTGCAGTCAATTTTAAAAGCCAGTACGATGCTGCAATCATCTCTGCATTTCAAACTCTGAAGTGGAACGTTTGGTCCTGTTTTAAAAATGGTTTCCATTGGAATTTAAAGAACACAAGTGGGAAAACATTTCTACTAGCGTACTCACAAGCGCTGTGTCAGGGAGTTAAAAAATGAGCACTTACAGTAACCTGAGGAACGTACATTCCCAGGCCAGCTTGTCTTTACGGGTGGGGGCTGCACACACCACACCCCCACACCCTCCCCTTCCATGGATGCAGATGTACTGGACAATAAATATACTTGGAGGGGAACAGGTGACACTCCAGCAGAACTCCTTCAATGCTATGCTAGGAAACAGCCTTAAATCCTCTCTCCGCCTCGTAGGAAGCACAGGCTGACAGAGAGGCAGTGAATCAGACTTCCTGCCAGAGCCAGCCTGCATTGCTGTCCATGAAGCCTGGGCTTTCCATCAGATCAGAGGTTACATGTGGTCTTAGCTACTGCATCTGCTCTTCATGGACCCCCTGCCATCAAAGGCGTGGGTGTAAAAAAAAAAAAAAACCAAAAAAAAACCCCCAAGAATAATTCTGGATGGCCTCACAATGCCTGTTTTTTGGAAATGCTTCATTGGCGGAAGTTGAAGAAATTCCATGCATAACAGATATTTATTGAGAAATTTCTCTCCCTTAAAACAACCAAGCACCACAACCTCCTCTTTGAAAGTAAACAAACAAACAAATAGAAAAAAGATTTTTCAAGAATGCCCAGAGCACAATGCTCAGGATATGAGGCAATTTTGTATCTGGATTACATTACCTGAAACAAAGCAAATAAGGATTTTAAAAAAATATTTATAAAAGCGGCTTATGAGATTACATTACAAACAATTGCACCCACTTTTATTTAAGTGGAAATGGCCAATGCTCTGTTTGCAAAAACTAACAGTTAGCAGATGCCTTTTTGTTAAAAGTAGGATGAGCATTGAATAAAAAAAAGGTTGTTTTATAGTATCTTTCAGGCTATTTATACAGAATCTTACAAGTAAAGTCAGAGAGAACTAGTCTTTTTAATGGTCCTTATTAAACAGTTAATATTTATTCCATTGATTTATTTACTTTGATTTGAAGTTCCTATACCTGGCATAGCATTGCAATCAAGATGTGCAATTACAAAAATAATTTCAAACACAAATGAAGCAGTCTAGCACAACCATAATAAAACTGAGCTAACATTTTAATAACCTAGTAAGTCTCCTCCTCCTACAAACTGACTTGCCAGTGGACTTGGTTGGAGAGAAGGACTGAGGAAATTGAAAGCACAACCATCAGGTCTTTAGCTCCAAGGCAGGCAAATGCTCCCACGTACAGACACTGGCCTGATGTAAATGTGCTGCTACTACCTGCTAATTAACACGCTAACAATACTTAACTTTTAAGAATAAAATAGGAGGAAGTAGGCTAGTTAAGTTCTTCCTTCTTTCATGTTTCAGAAAGTAAACAAAAAATAACACAGCTAGTGACAGAGGAGCCAAGTTCTTTGGATGAAGTTTGGTGTTCCGGCCACTGTGCAATACTCTCTCTCACAAAAAAAGTGATAGCTTAATGTGCAAGATCCTGAATTTTAAGCTCTATCAACTTGAAATCTTTCAAAAATGAGAACAAAACCCTTGTCCCAAATAAAATATATGTGGTTTCGTAACAGTATTAAAAACTTCATTTCTACACATGTTCAAAGGCAATACAGTTAATTTTGTCACCAGGCCAGGATTAACTATTATTCTCTTTAAAATTCATGCTGATGCAGTTTTACAGTATAATTTCCCTATTTTATTCAAAGCTTCATAAAACAGACTCTCATCAAACTACCTTTTAGAAACAGTTCTAAATTCTAAAGTATCCTTTGTTGATTTACAGCTGAACAATATATTTCTTAGACATACACTAATGGGAGGTGAGGGATGGAAAACATAACTAGGTCCAAACTATTACCAGCTTTTCTTTACCCTAAAGTTTTTATTTTTTGGAACTAACATCCCGCAAAAAATAAAATAAAACTTTCCTAATTTTACAATAGAATTTTGTATTTGCTTCTGCCTTGCAAGATTTGAGAGTTGTTTCAGAACTATAGATTTTTTCTTTTAGAAAAGCCGTAAGAAATAGCATAGTATTTCGTAAGACCTGAATCTACTGCCATTGAACTAATAGTAGTCAAGTCTTCAGAATTACACAACAAAATTGATTCAAAACAATTTTTCCAAATGCTTTAAAACATTCCTAAAATATTCTTATGCGGCGCATATGGTGTATATATATACACTGAATGATGATTTGAAATGGCAGAGCTTTTATTAGCATGTTTTGGATCTCATCTACATATTTCATATATAGCTTAACTATGTAAGCTTAACCGTATTAGTGTGAATGAGAAACCACCCCCAAAGGAGCACCAATAAAACTTTATAACAAACATCATGTATTTTTCCTTTTGCCCAGAAAAGTCTCAATTTTTTAGGTTGTGATGAAATTTGCTATGTTATAGGCCCGACCTTCTGAGCTGCGCTGTGCTGTTGCCTATCTCCATCATGCGATGTAATGCACACCATGTTTTCATCAGGCCTGCTTGCCTAGTCCCACTGTTTAATTTTTTTTTTAAGGGGGAATACGTTCCATCAGTTCTTATAATCTAGTTAAAATATATCTTTTATGTTTAGCTTGTGTCCTTTTCCCCATCCTACCTTAGATAGTGAAAAGATAGTCGCATGCATACATACATACACAAGAGCAGCAGTCTTCCAGAGAGTCTAACTGGAAATATTCTTTAGCAACTTTCACTGTAAATTAAACATCATTTATGCCCTCTTCCCACCCGCCAGTCCTTGATATTCAGAGAAATACAGGAATATAGTGCATACCTATTGTACAGAGGCAGAGAAGCTAACTTATTTATTTCAAATAAACTTTATATTGTTCTTTATTTGGATGATACATCTCTTTCAGATAAAACTGTCAGCCAATAGTCACAATGTCAAGAAAAATTCACATTATTGATGAAATCGACTGCAGCAGCACAGAAAGTGCCATGCAAATCTCCTGATGCTCTATTATATGATATGCAATATAGAGTGTGTGTGTATACACACACACACACGTATATATAAAACACATAGTTCATGGTTATTTTCCCTCAAATACATGTGCTAGAAATGAAAAATAGAAATTTCCAAAACTAACATGTTACCACAGTGGTATGACAACATTAATCCTGAATGATGCGATTACAAGCACAGCAGGTCTTCCTAAACAAGAGGCAGTAAAATCTTTATACTACCTATTTTGTGTGAATTAGTGTGTAACTTGAAGTGTGGATTAGTTTTATTAACTTATTAACACATTTAGGATGGTGTTTTTAGGCACTAGAACTTTGGCACCCACCTCTAAAACTCTTTTGAAAAGAGCCCTAATGCTTCGGTAGCAAGCACAGGATTTTATCTGATACACAAGTAAGGTACTTACTGCCCACAAAGGCAGCAGGATGAGACCAGAACTTCTGCCTTCACATAATATCTGACTCCTGCCTCCACACTTTTACCTTTGCCTGACACGGAGACAAAAAGCCAAAGAAAAGGGTAAGACCCATGTAGGGCTAGTCTTTGGTCCTCCAAGAAGACCTCTTTGGGTCTCAATGAAATACTGCTGGTGGCTGAGGAGCTCTCAGGCTGTATGTTCCTACTATATTTATTATTTAAACTTCTTGCCATGCTTCTGTGCTCTCTGATCCACTTTCAATTTGTAGGAAGACTGTATTACAGCTTGTGTTTTCTAGAATTGCTCCCATAGGTATGAAGATGGTGAAAGACTTCAGAAGTTAATTGTAGGAGCAGAATGGAGAGAACTTTGCCCAGGTTATTTGTAATGTGGTGGCAGCTTGTACAAGGACACACTTGAATGCCTCAGACATGAGAAATGAAGTCCTATCGCATCTTTCCAAAACACTAAGTACATGAAGTCGTGATCTGTAACTTACAACAACTCCAACTTTGCTTCAACTTTGCTTTGTTAATTGATTTGTTAATTCTTTTCATATTAATTGCTATAATCACCACCTTTTATATAGTATTTAACAAATATACGTGGGAATCTGGAGTAAATCAAATTTGTGACACAGCTGTGTTTCTTTCAAGACAGGACAGCAATAGCAGAGAAAGATGAAAATGGAACAACGATAAAAGAAAACATGGCAGAGAACGACTCTTCTCCCTATTGTAAGTATCTTCTTTCCAGCTGTCTAATCTTCCTTACTGTTTAATCCCTCTTAAAAGTTCCACTATAATTCAGATTTCTGAAAAAAGTTAAGGTCTATTAAAAATAGAATTTTTAGTCTTTTGCATAAGCACATTATTTCAATGCCAATTTTCAAAAGATACCATCTCATTCAGCAAAGATTCGGTATAGCTGCACAAAAACCGTATACTACTTTTCACAACTGGTGTGCTATATGAACTCTGGCAACAAAAAACTAGCAATGTTTTTTACCTACAGCGCTCATTCAGTGAACAATTTAAAACCTCACACTTTTCTGGCTGCACATTCAGCAGATCTCTGCATCCTCATTTACATTTTTTTGGGGTAATACTCTGTAATGATATATCTCATCAAACTCTTAGATCTGGTACTGGCTGTCAGACAAATGAATTGCAATCATTTGATTTCTCTCTTCAGCAATACAGATAAGACAGAAAAAGAAAGTTTCAGAATGTTTTCTTCTGAACAGTTAATTCTGATATTTCTTATTATAAGCTTTGCATATGAAAAAAAGCGCCATTCATTAAGACAAGGAAATTCTTGCAAAACCCTATTACTCAGCTGAATGAAAACTTAAAATACATGACATCATTAGATGTCATTTTAAAGATCACGATAATTTTCTCACAGTTTATGATCAAAACACCACGTGCTTCTACAATGTTTACATTTTATCAGTAGGCTAATATAGGAAAATATTGTGATATTCAGTCATAAAAAAATGCTTTCTGTGAAATCAGCTTGGCTTACAACTCTTACTTCCTTAGGAAATGTTGAGAAATTAGAGTAATGCAACAATCCCTATCGCAATCTGGTAATGACAAAGTAATATCAGGGAACAGGAAGAACTGGTTGCTAAAAGGTTAGACCTTAATTAATTTCGAACGTTTTACACACTTAACTTTGTTCATCTGTGGGGTATAATCCTAAAAATATGTATATTTACCATTTGATTTTTAAAGACGTTCTAGAAGCCTCTCAGCTGTTTTCCACTGCTCCAGTAACTTTGAGAAGTGCAATTATTTTGGCAGTTATAACCAGGAGCGAATGTTAAATGCTCTTACCTGTACACTTGTAGTCTGAGGCAACTCCTTTAAGACAAGCGTCAAACACTGATATTTCTACCTTTTGCTTTCTGTGGTGGCAGCTCAGGAGCACAGAGGGCTGCGATACAGTGAGGTAGAGAAATGGCTGTAGCTCGATGTCCCCAGTTCCCCTGCGACCAGGCTGCCGAACAATAGTTATACCTAGGGCTTGTCGAGCTGACGATCTTGTGGAAGCATGCAGACTTTCCAGTGACAAAAGACCCGTTTTTCTCCCAGTAGACAGGGGAACATTACTGTTCAAAAGATCGTCTGCTGTGACAGAGGAAATGCACGGCTGACTGGGCTTCTTGGTATCATGGCTGCCACCTGAGCCCGCTTCTGGAAGGTTCAAGGAGCTTTTGCTTATTTTCTCACCATCTTTCTGATCTTGTACTGATTTTGATTTAGTTAAGGCAGTGCACGAGTAAGTCATCAAGGAGATTCGACTTGCTGTTACAAAAATGTCAAAGGGAATGAAATTGAGATTCTTCACGATGGAAGACTGGCGGGAAGGACGGGCAATGCGGTGCTGGCTGGTACCACTGTGCTGCTCGATCTGAACGATTCTGATCTTAACACTGTCGCTGCCAATTCCACTGTCCTGTGCCCCGCTATATCGGGAAGAAGTCTCAACTGTTCCTCCATCAGACACATCCATTTTTTTCTGCTCTTGTTTGGAAACCTGCAAAGGAAAATATTATATTAACTTATGATATCCATATCCCAACTATTTCCATTTCAGTGGCAGCAAACAATCATTATATAAACATGATGTCAAAAAAGAGAATTATAAAAAGATATCTGCCAAGTTAACTTTAGCACAGTAATCACTCATGAAAACACAGCAGGTGCCTGTTCAAATGAAATGACGACTCACAACAAACAAAGTGCCAAAAGAACACGTGGAAGGAAAAAAAAAAAAAAGGAGTAATGATTTCTAGGCTTAAATTTTTTTTTTTTTTAATTTAAACTCTTTCTTTAAACTCTAAAGAATCTACAAGAAATTTATGGCTTAATATAAAACCACATCTCTGTGAAATAATGCCATATAAATAAAAAGCCTAGTCAGAATTGTTTCCCAGTTTTGAGCACTGATGCTCAAAAAGTCCTCTTTGGCACTAAAATATTTTACCGTGATTAGATGAAATAGAATGTAGTATTAATCTACTGCGAAATCACATAAAGACTAAATGGAAATTGTAAGTTGAAATCTATAAATATTATGTTGTAGAAAAAATATTTTTCTTAAGAGTTGTGGAAATGACAGCTGCCTTACATAAAACACCAAAGTTGAAGGAAATGTCAGCACTATCTAAAGACTGCCTCTGTGATGGGGTACAAGTTCTTAGCTCACCAAGGCTCACCAAGGATACATATGGTTTTGGCTATGACATTCACAGGGTTTCACATGAGAAATAATTGCATATAGAAATATTTAAAAAAGAAAACATACACCACTGATAAACAGTAAAAAGAACTTTCCTTCTATTACAGGAAGTGCAAGAGTGAAACAAAAAGTTGCAAGACTGTGTCCAGGGACCACATAGTACCAGGTCAAGAGACAGAGAGATCCAAGACAAGCAGGTGCTTAAGGAAGAAAACACTTCTGCTCGTGAAACAAGCAGAAATCCTACAAAGAGCTTGAGGACAACGTGGTGAGCATACGCTAAAATATTTGGAAAGAAGACCCTGCAGAAATTCAACAATAATACTAATAAATATGGCCAACTCCTCTGGTTCATATGGAGTTTAGAGTCATGCATTCACCCTGTATAGCTTCCACAGCATAACTAACACTTCCGTCTGTGCTGCCCAGAAGAAGTGTTTCTGCTCTGCTCTGTACAAGAACTAACATAAGAAATGCCCAACTCAGATTCATGACCCATCCAGCCCAGTAACGCTGTTTCTGACAGCACTAGGAGGAGACTGTCGAGAGAGGCCATGGACCCTGGCTGCTTCCTGCAATCTTCCTCTGCTACTGCCCAAGACTCCATAGCTGTTGCATTTGGGATGCCAGTGGTATACACTTGTGTAGTCGTTTTAGTAACCATTTCTTGACTTCTTGCCCGTGAATTCATCCACTTCCTTTTTGAACATGCTGACAGTGTCTGCCCTCCACAGCCTTCTGGGGCAGCAATTGTTTTTTTCTTTGGTTTAAACCAATCTCCTACTAGTGAGAGGAGATTGCATTTCCCCAATCTTTTGTAATGCATAATTTAAACGTTCAGGTCCGCATTCAGCTTTATCACTGCTGCTATGACTTTGTAAACCTTGATCATAGCCCCCCTCAGCCTTCTCCTCTCCAGACAGGGAAATCCCAGCCTTTTTAGTCTCTCCTCACAAAGCAGCTGCTCCAGCACCTCTAATCATTTTAGCTGCTCTTCTCTACTTCTGTAACTCCACTACGCACTTCTTGAGTACTCTACACAGTATTCAAGAAGTGGGATCACTATGGTTTTATATAGCAGTAAAATGATGCCTTCTGTCTTGTTCTCAGTCTCCATCCTGATGATGCCCAATACCTTGTTGGGTTTTTTTGGCTGCCACTGCACACTGACTCAATGATTTAATTTCTTCGTTCCAGGACCTACTTCAATAGTTTCTGCTTATCTTCTCCACCCTAGTGAATCTTTGGAAAGGGAGATATAAACTAGGGCAAACCATACCTTAACTTCCTCTTGAAAAATATAATAATGAATTACAAGTACTTACACAATTTATCAGCAACATAACTACAGGAATGAAGGGCAGTAAATTAATGAATTTCTTCAAACTTTGGTCTTTACGCAGCAATATTAATAGATTCTACATACACTGCAGAAATTGGGTTGTGGGGGAGTTAATGAAAAGCAGTTTTTTTAAAGGTTCCTTTATATTGTGCTTTATGAAACAAAGGGAGCAACCCCCTCTCCTTTTCTTTAAAGGAATGAACATGCTAGAAAAAAGTATTACAGAGGAAATCCTAAAACAGAGCCATTAACTAGCTGAGATTTTCTTTGAAAAGGTTTTTGCCAGCTCTGGTTACAATCTTTTCAGATTCACTCATGTACATATTTTTCAAATAACCAATAAAATTCCTTGCGGCTGATTTCTATGGCAGACTCGTATCACTGACTTGTAAACGTGATACCACTTTTAATGCAGCCTCTGTAAAAATAACTAGAGACCATTTTAATGAATTACTACATTGTGAGCCAAGAAATCCTGATTGCTCCTGATATCCTAGCAAAGTTAGGCTATTTACAGCCTTTCTGTCTGCTAAACTATAAAGTGCTTCGTCCATACCCTGCACTGACGGCACTTTAAAAAATGGTGTAGATGGTTTTATCGCTCATGTATTGAGGGCAAGCAGAAGACAGAAGGGATGGGGCTGTGAAACAATCTTGCCATATCATTTCATGGAAATGCTGCCTGAAATGAAGTAGAGGGCATATGCTGCTAAACCCAGCAATTTTTAATTGCTCCATAGCCATCAGCTCCGTCTGATGAAAAATCTTTTTAGAAAGCATGGTTCTGTAGTGAGTGACGCTCTTACGGGTAAAACATGGTCTTCTCTTGTTCTCCTCTATGCAGCAGAAATTTCTACAGCTACCTGACATTTAGGTTATGCTTGACTTGACTAGAGGGACTGAAAATACAGTGTCATCCACTAAATGATAATCTTCCAGGGAGAAAAGCATTGCATGTATATGATTGAGTGGAGGGAGAAAGCATAGTACTTCTGGTTTCTGAACGGATCCTCTCTTCTCACACCTAAATAGATTTGACTTGAAGCCTAGTTCTTTTCTTCTGCCTCTTTTTATAATTAAGTATTTATTAAATGTGCTGGTCTATATAAAGCACCTCAAGGAAGGTATGAAAGTAGTTCTGACTCCACCCCCATTCAGCCTATAGTTTCTCTGTGAAGACTACTGCAAGGGTGCTAATTGGTCCCAACTGCCGAGTTTCCTATTATGCGGACATTTGACTACAGAAACTTTACTGAGACCCCAAATCAATTCACGCAGGTCACCGAACAGCAGGCAGATGGTAACTTCTGCTCAGTACTAAGCAGCATGGAATATGAACCAGTGCCCAAAAGGTGAAAGACACCATATCCCACTATGATTTTCCATGCCACCCGGTTCCACAATGAAACTTTGACTTATGTATGCTCTTACCACATATATTATAAAGGTTGGAATAAGTGAGTCATGATTTGCAAGACAGCTTTATATAACACAACTGGGTACAAAATAAAGGTGCAGAAGTACCACTGGAACTTCTTGCATCAATTTCAGCTCAGTAAGCATCAAGCCTTCCAACCAAGTTTCACAGTTAACCTGAAAATACGCCTAGTAATAAACTTGGGAATCATTTAGGTATTCCTCTAAGGGGATAAGGATATGAGAGGGAATGACTCTCAGTATAACAACTTTAAAAAGATTCTTTGCTTTATTATGAAATAAATGGGCCAATACTTTAAAGATGTCAAGAACAGCAATATCAGCTTGCTGTTAGCAAATGTAATGGTAACATTTATCATTGGGCTGTATTATATCAATTCTCTTACTCTTTACATAACCCATTTAAAATGAACAATAAAAGTTTTCTTTAATTAGCTACTGGTGTGCATTAACATGATCATGATTAAACCATAAAAACCAACTGTACATTACTCTGGTCCCCTATCCCATGTGTTTTAAATTATTTTAGTTGAAAATGTACTTTGAGTCCCTTTTAAAAGTTCGACCTTCTGCTTTCAGAGAATTAAATGCATATTACTGTAGTGGAGAAGATAATGTTTCAGACCTCCAGGCATATATTAAACACACTGGCAGCACATTAGACAAAATGCTTTACTTATTAGATACTTCCTATTCTAAACAGTGTCATCAAAGGCTAAAAACAAAATCCATATAAAAGCTGCACAATGCTTCCACACAGAACCTGTGCCAAAATCCCTGTACTTTCCAACTAATGAGGAAAGGATGTGTACTCTTAACATATGAATGTAAGATTTTCCAAGCATTCACTTTAGGAAACAGGACTATTGATTCCACATGGCTTATGTTAAATGAAACTGTATTGGTAAAATAACCTTTAAGATATTTGGCATGATAACTATAATTAAACAGTATTCAAAGGAATAAAACAAAAGGGAATTTGGTTCCACAATGGCTAATTAAAATAAAATGAAAAAACACAGCATGTCATCTATCAAGATAAATTGTTATTGTTTAAGAACTATTTAAATACTGTTAAAATATACTTTTAGATAAAATCTGAAAGGACTGGAAAAATATTTGTGGCTTAAAAATGGATAGTTTGGCGAAGAAAAAAGTATAGGACGCTGAAATTTTATGCTGAGATAATAGCTTTAAAGCTTTGAGCATAACCAGATGGTACTTAAATCAGAGGAATTCTACAGTTTCGCTGTCAGAATGAGTTGCAATATGGAAAGGTTTTCAATAGCTAGAAAAAACATGTCAAGATGATAGTTTACTTCTTAGATCACTTCAGTGCATTTTCTCGTCCTTTCACAGTTATATATCCTATCAATACTAGACACCGTAGAAAAGGTGTTGAAAGCTACACTAGTAGCTAGGGAACTGTGGCTAATTCTTCCTTTTCATGTGTTGAGATAGGTAACTTTACTAGCTCAACCCCTTGAGTTCAATAGGGCATATGACACATATATCT